CTAACTTTGTCTGTCTGTTTGGTGTTGTACTGTACATTGTGTTTATCAGAACCATTTCACTGAAACAGCTGCCTGCTGAAAAATGCTGCTGATGAGAGCAGAGTTAGTGGTTTAGAAAACCAAAACAATCCGTTAAAAGCAAGCCACCTCTTTCACATTACATATAGCCATTTGATCCATTCTTCATATTAAAAAATATTGATTAGTGTAGCTTTAAGACATGCACCAAATTCTATACCTGCACTCAAGTTTGTGTTATTATTGTATTAACATTAGTATTGCTGTTTCTTTCCCTCTCAGTTCAATGACATATTGTTTTGAGAACACCTCAAATTCTCAGCTAATAAATGTTGTTCTGTATTTCATATTGACTTCACACTGCTCACTCAGATTGTTATATAGAAAAATTATTATATAGCCGATTATATGCCTGAAGAGAAACTTCTTAGGCAACGATGATTGTTTATGAGAGTAAAATAACCTCCTGTCTGGCTCTCGAGTCGCCTCGGTGTGCTGTTCCCATGGAAACAAGTTTTTATACTGAGAAAAGCAGTCTGTATGTGTGTACATTTCATGGTGTGTGTGTGTATGTGTTGTTGTGACTGACGCTCACTGCATGCAGCTTACAAATCTGTATTATAACAGAAGTGCTAATTAAAAGCCTAAACAGTAGGTGGAACTGAGAAAAATAAACATTAACTAAGGGCGGGCTAATTTAATGTGTCTGTGTGTGTGTGTTCCAGGATCTGAACAATGATTACCTTGACCTTGAGCAGGCTGCTTGATTTCCTACAAAGATTCAGACCTTTAGAGGATTCAAATGACCATCTTTAATGCCAATCACTGACAGAAAGGTCAGAGCAATGACACAAACTCGTATTCATTTGAGCCGTTAAATGTCACACACTGAATAGTATTCTTCTGGGAAAAATGAAGGACTGATAAGCACAAGAAAACTTTTAATTCACCGCTTTATTTCTTAAACTTGTTGAATTATTCTACAAATGTGTAATTTAAATATCAAAATTAAAGGCTTTATGCTCAGATTATAATTATAATCTATTTTAAACTAAAATTGGGGGACTTCTTGGCACTTCCATTAAGGTGCACAGTAAATGCATGGTCTGTGTAACAACTTTAAACCATAACCCTCACTTTGCAGCTTGAGGAAGACATCGGTCACCTCCATCTCATCTTATCTCCAGTTCATGTTTTTCTCATCTATTTTAATTTGAATGTCTTTCCTGTCCTTAATCTCCTTCACATGGTTATAACTTCCTGTAAAGCATCCATTAATCTCTGCTAGTAGAAAATTATTATTTGATAAATATTGATACCAAACTAAGCATCAAAGTTCCTTCATGACTTTTAAAAGGTTTGACAATCTGTAATATATCACACCACACAGATACACCAATCAGCCATAACATTATGACCACCTGGGCACCCTGACCACTGTAGAACAGGAACACCCTACACGAGCTGCTGTTTGGAGATGCTCTGACCCAGTCGTCTAGCACACAATTTGCCGCCCTGTCAAGTCGCGGCTCAGATCCTCACGCTGAACCTTTTTGTCCTTGCTTCTAAACACATCGAAACAAAGTGTTCACCTTGCCTGCCTAATATATTCCACCCAGATAACCAGATAATTCACTTCACCTGTATTATCATTATAATCAGTAGTAGTACCAGTTGTTATACCTCATGTTTGCTGGAACAGGTATTATGAGATTATTTATTTTTAGCAGTACAGCTAATAATTTTACCAAAAACCTATTAAAAAGCAGAGAAGCATGGAAATGTCTCTCATACTGCATTTCTGCCATCACAACAGATGAAGGGCACTTGTTCCTTCAAAGAGTTAATATTAGCTACCCTTTCAACCGTGACTGCTCCATTACTTCTATGCTAATACCTTTACAGAGGTCAGTGGTGGCCACATACTACACCTACACTACACACACACATAACCGTATGGACAGATGCAACTAGAAGG